ACAACAGCATGGGCACTAACATGTGAGATTAGAGAGGGTAACAGCACTTTCTGCACTAGTTTGAGGTGCTCATGAGCAAGTAATAATTTGTGGCTATAGTTTGAGAAAAACGTTTTTAAATAGACAAATACAAACAGAAGTACTGCATTTTAGATGTTCAGGTAAGATTATTTATGTCTGTCCTAGCCATCCTAGTGTCCAGTAGTTTCTTGCACAAACTCACTAACAGCAAATGAATGAACAAGTGAATGAATTAGTGAATGTAAGGCAGCCTGCCTTCCTTTCTGTAATCCAGTGCTCTTTACCTCAGGCAGTGAGGGAACAAATGAACATTATACTGGAGGATCTGGGCAGAGACTTGGAATCATGAGTCAACTCCAGCCTACTTTTAAGGAAGTTCTGTATTGTTTTCACGTCTCACATTAAAATTCAGTACCCATCCAGATAAACTGGAACCCTAATCTAAAACCACATTTTAGCCCATATTTCAATTTACCACTCATCCATTTTTTATAAAATCTGCTAATCTGACAAAATCGAGTTTTCCTTTCACTTTCTATTCCCACTTCCTCCTCTCCATGTAATTCCAGGGAGTTGATCAGGCAACAGGAAGCAAAACAAAAGAGAAGAACATCAAGTTTTAATTTTCTAGAATGATGAGGGAACAATTTAGACTCATGACAACATGAGATAATTCCCACTGCTGTGCAATATATAGAAGAATATGTTTTGGAGAGTATGTTAACAAAATATGAAACATCATACAAAACAGATGCACCACAGCAAGGCATTTAATTTCCATTTTTATTTGGACATATTTACTAAAGTCACTCACATGATATAGCAATTCATGCATATTCTGACGAGCTGTTATTTCCTTTATACCAGCCTTTGAGTTGATGTGCTTTCCCTGAAATGACACTGACAGAATATCAGTCACCTTTGAAGCCTAGGAGTGAGTTATACCAGTGACTGGGTACCACCCTTTCAGAAACAAGAAAGATCTTAATTAAGTGTCTTTGCTAACTCTTCTTCTTTGCCGCAGAGACTGACTGCTTAGGAAACACCACACTCCCCTTAAAACCTCATTTCCATTTGAAGAGTGTTATTCCCAAACTGCTTCTTGCCACTCATTTCCAATCTATATGAATTCACTCTAGAATCCAGTGCCAGCAGGAGCTTAGCTAATAAGCATTCCCGAAGGGGAGTCCTTCGTGCTTGGTGTTCTGTGGAACTCAACAAGGAAAACTAAAAATGGTGCTGCTTTCCTTCCAAGCTTAAGGACAGCTGAATTATCATCACCCTTAGGCTTGAGAAAGGGACTTCAAAATGTGGTGGCTCTTAATTCAACATAAATACCTTCTCTACTTATGACTTCACTTAATCCAGCAAGCTTCTGAATCATCACCAAACGCCATCTGACCTGAAGACAACCAGAGCAAGTCTATCAAATGACAGGCCTCTCTATCTGCTGACAGGAGCAGATGGGCCCCCAAGTCAAATTGCTTTCTCACTGATATCCTGTAGGGCGGAAATCAAGTCGATAAATGACAAACATGAACTGGAGCGTTTTTTACTCTATTATTCACAATATATGTAAAGACTAAAATATCTTATAATTCATTAATCTGGCCATTTTTGTAGCCCTTGTGGCCATGGATCTTAACATTAAAGACAGCTTAAAGAAAAGAAAAAAATATATGTATATATACACATACAAGTCCATTCAAATGAATGTTTTTTGTTCCCCCTCCCCAATAAGCACTAAGAGCCACTTTGTGAAAGAAGATGGTGGTAACTTTCCATGCCACAAATTAAATACGTATTTTTAGCTTGAGGCATATCCTTGCATATTTTGCTACAAGGATAATGGTACTAACCAGCATTTAGTTTAAAAGGTTTGTATTTTAATTTTTAAAATAGGTCAAGTGCTACCCATTACCCCTCTCAAGGCACACATGTAGTTTCTTAAAATACCAAATAACAAAGCTAAACCTGCTTGAAGCATGGATGAAATTTAAACTGACATTTCATACTTACAGTCTAAAGCAAAGAACTGTTGTTGCAACAATAACTTCTTGTTAAAGGTGAAACTGCTTGACAACAGCAAGGCCTTTTATCAGGGCACCCAGATATTCACAGGCAGAAAATATATCCAAAAGTAACAAAAACACGGATTTAAAAATATACAAATTCCCAGAAAACTGGAAGACTGAATTGAAAGAGTTTTAAACTGTACATGCTAGGTTTAAAATCCCCATGACTTGCAGACACGGGAGGGTGACAGTCATGCGCAGAGTGTTACTGCCGGGGAAATCATTCTAATCCTTCTGGCTAAGGTGAAAACACATACAACAGGTCCTCCTCATCAATCAGGAGGAAAACCTCTATTTTCGGTGAATGACATTAATGGGAATCCTAGAAAACAAGGCAAAGTCTCTAAATAAATATCTTGAATAGTTTCAATAAGACAATTGGCATTTAAAACACAGATTTTAATCATGTGCAGACCAAGGCTTTAGCGGACAACAAGCTCTCCTTAGAGGTAAAACAGGTCATGGGATGAAACGATTAACAGCTGGAACTTTTAAATTGTAGTTTTTGTTTATTTGTTTTAGCTGAAAATCAATTCAGTATTTTTAGGAAACTCTACTCTTAAATCACGTTTTAAATATCAAACAAAATGATAATATTACCATTTTTATTAACCAGATTTCTTTAAAGCCCCCCCCCCTTTTTTTTTACGGAAGAGTAGACCAAAACTAAAACTAGGTAAGAATGTTATTTTTTAATCCAAAGGACAAATATAGTAACACTTTTGTCTACTTCTACAGTACTAATCAACCTCTAACCCTGCAACTCATTGCCCTTGAGTCGATCGATTCTGACTCACAGGAACTCTACAGAGTAGAACTGCCTCATAGGGTTTCCAAAGAGTGGCTGGTGGATTCGAACTGCTAACCTTTTTTTTTCGGTTAGCCACTGAGCTCTTTAACCACCATGCCACCAGGCTCCAATCAACCTCTAACTAATATAAAGGACTTGATTTTCACTATAACATTTTCAGAGCTACAAACATAGATTTCAACTAAAGGAAGACAGAAACTTTATTATATGGAAAAATTTCTAATAACTGGCTTAAAACTTATTGTAAAAGATTTTCAATTACAAAATATTTTCGATTTTAAGGCCTTGCCTCTATTATTTCTAAGTCTCCTTCATACAATAGTTTTTCATCTTTATTTTCTTTGTACTTATACAACTATGTGCGATTCATGGGACTCGGGACCAATGAATTTAATGACACAGTAACAGGCAAGGCAACAAGAAACATTTCGGAGATTTCATGTGACATGAGACTGACACTTTCAAGAGGAATTTCAGTTCATTAATCTTTATTTCATAAACATACTGAGCAAATATTGGAAACAAGGCCATAGAAAGTCAGGCTGGGAGCAGATGGTAAGAAAGCCAAGAGAAACAGGAATTCACAAAATTCTGCACATTAACTGGAGAGAAAGATGGTCTACGACTGGTTAGTTTTCCAAACGGAAATCATGGTTTATAGCTATGGTCTCCAATACAGCAGCTGCTAGCCACATGTGACTAATTAAACCTAAGTTAATTAAAATGAAAAATCCAGTTCCTCAGTCACACCAGCCACTTTCAAGTACTCCACAGGCATATGTGGCTAGTGGATGCTGTATTGGAGAGTGCAGATCTAGAACATATCCAGCCTCACAGACCATGCTCTGGAACAGCACTGGTGTAGATGGTGAATAAAGGAAAGAAAAAGCAGGAAGACTGACCTCAGGTACCATAGGAATAAGCCCAGAAAGTGGGTACAGTAATACTGCTATTTGTGGATGATGGTAATTTCTTTTTTATATGGAAGAAATGCAATTGAATATCCTAAAGTTCTGCCTTTTCTTCTTAAAAAAAGTAAAATGTATGGAGAGATGATTATGTCAGACAGGTGCTACGTGCTTTACATATACCATCTTATTTAATCTTCATAAAAACTATACGAGGTAGGCACTATTATAAGCCATTGTACAGACAGGAAGCGAAGTTTAGAGAGCCTGTGTGAATTATCCAGGATCACGCAGCTCTCACCTAGATTCCAAGCACACCTTATCTCACTCAAGGCCAGAGCTCGTGAGGCTGCCTGGGAGGGGCTGTAGCTCCACCCTGAGATGGAAATAGAGGAAATGTCCTCTCAATAGAACTATCAGACCCCTGCACCAGCAACTAGTGCGCCCGGCTGGAAAGAATGGTGTTCTAAATCAGCCTTCTTTGCCCTTTTGGATGAATATTTTCTTGACGTTAAGCATGATTATTTTCTATTAACGCTGGAAAGTATTGCTTTTTAGAAACTTTCATTCTCGTCCCTACCCTCCACCTATAAATCTCTGAGCTCTCCAAGTCTAGCCATTTCTTTTCATAGGTTTTATGGCCCTGATCAATAAAAGTGAGTCCAACTAAACACAATTTAACACGTCTTAAGCTTAAATTTGTAGAACAGAACAGTCAACACAGATTATACTTGGTCTTTCAATATTTCTTCATACGTACAGGTACTGAGCTCTTAAATACCCTGTTAATAATCAGTGACTTCACGTTATGGAAAAGGATTCTAGTTGTGCAGAGAGAAGTATTTAATTTGCCAAAAGCTGAGCTATGATAAAGAATATTACCTCTTAGACGTAAGCGTCACTGGCCCAGGTGAGCCAACTGAACTTGGTTATATTATCTCAGCTTTTACGTGGTCAATTTCCCATTACATTGCTTACAGAATTACACTTCATCATTTTATCATACGTTAGTAACTTTTTTGTTCAATTTTTTAAGCTCTTCTGAATTGCTCTACTGGTTGATGTCCCAATGACGCTGGCAGAAGAGCCACTTGACTGTTAGAACAGCCTCCTGCTCCAGAGGCCCTGGTGAGGCAAGCATTACTTCTGGCCCTGACTATCCTGCTGTAGCCTCACATGCCTTACCTTCGGGGTGAGCCATCGTCGTGGGGCTGGATAATGACCACCTTCACAGTCACGGAGGTCCGGAGCAGGTCAATCATCTGCTCATGGGTCAGAGTCACCACGGCCACTTTGCATATCTCTACGAGGCGGCTCCCTTGGCGAAGGCCAGCCTTCCAAGCAAAGCCAAAAGGTTCCACATCTGCAACGATTCCTTCAAAGTTCACGTGGAAACCTAGCTGGCCCAGCCCGTTCCTCCTCAAGGTCATTTCCACAGTCTCGCAGCCTCTTGTCACTATCTGAAAGGGGAGGACACTGTTAAAGACCCCCTTCCCACTCAGGCTGTCACGAGTGCCCTGTGTCAGAGGTGCACACGTGGGCCTCTGCCTCTACTGCTCTTCTCCCGAGCCCTCACACCACTGATAGCATAGCCCTAAAGGGTGCCCACTCTCCTTCTGTCCTCTTCAAACTGTAGAAGTGAAAGACAGGACATATTTAAATCTAGAGCTCACCATAATCAGCTGTGGCATCAAGCACAAAGAAAATAATGAAAGTAAAACCACGGTTTAACTCCTCAAAGGCAAATCTATTCCTGATACAGGTATCCCGCTTTTTCTGCAGTCACAGACCTCAAGCTCACAAGCTTAAGATGGACACTGATAATTCTCTCCTCTCCTTTCTTAGGTCAATTCACTTGGATCCTAAACATATAAATTCTATAGTTTAAACTGGAATGTAGCAGTGCAAAAATGTAAAGACTGTCAAAACCATTACAGCTTTCACTCATCCAGCACTAAAACCTAATAGATGATTTCATTCACTTGTTTTTAAACCAATGGCCCACACCCACTCTCGAGCTAACACTTTAGTGCCGTGCCCTGAGGCCCAGGCAGGGCAGCAGTAGGTCGGAATCTTAAGAAAACTGTAACTGCAGGGCCCGGCATTAGCACTGCGCACATCCCGTTCCAGCCACTTGCACTTTCATCGGAAGTGGTGAGGGAACTTCCGATCACGTGTGGTAGCCAACAGATTCTTTCGTCACCTGCTGACAAGGAAAGTTGGCAGGTGATGCCTTTGCAGATAGCAGAGCCTCCTGTGCCTACCCTCCAGGCTTCCCACTCTCCAAAGGGCCAGTCATCGTCAAACCAGAAATCCCAGGGAAAGGCCTGGGGACAACCCAAGCAGGAGGGGCACCAGTGCTCTCACCTTTCACACAAAATGACTCTATGAAAGTACCAAAAAATGAAAATGAAGGTGGTTGTGTCCCACTCGGTGCACTAAAGCACCTGTAATTTGTTTCCATGAGAGAGTGGTTTCCTAATCAATGAAAGAAAAGGGCTCATCAAATATCTGATGACATCACTTTTTTGTGGGAAATTTAAAGTCAGAAGGCATCATACACGTATCCCCCAAAGCACAGAGCCAATGTATCAAGTGTCAGTGTAATAAATGCTCCATATCCACGGAGCATGCTCTGAATACACGGACACCTATTTAATCAAACCTACCGCTGTAAGTGCAGCTGTGGGAATGGGGCTGGGTTCAGTGCATCACCACCATGTCTGCTGTCTCCATGGTTACTGCAAGTCCACATGTCTGAGCCAGCTTCCCAAAGACAGAGATGACAGTTTGGGGCTTAAGGAAATGTGGGAAGGGACTTCTAGTGTTAGCTAGTGGGGAAGTTTTGAAAGATTGACGTTTCCAAACTTATGAACTAATTTAAAATTGTTCAAAAAGTACTCTTGTTACATATACAACCTGAATAAATTTTTCCTTTACGTCTCTTCAACTTTTTTCTAAGCTTCTTCACCAAAAGACTACAAATAAAATGTGCCCTAGCTGCTCTCAAATACTAAGACAATTTTCAGCTGAAACTTAATATCCATATTAGACTGAAGAGTGAATAACTGAGCTTTGCCAAAGTCTAACACAGTCTCTTTTGCTTATTTTCTCCAACTACCTGCCACTTCCCCACTTATGCTTTTTGCTATTTCTTTATCTCCTTTGTTCCTTGCTTCTTATCATCTGAGGGCTGAGTCTGAAGGACAATGTTCTCCATTTATTTTAAGCTCTTCACATATGTACATGGGCTCAGTTATCATGAAAATGGTGTCCCCTATGCCGGTGCCCAGGACTGGCTATGTAATTTGTGGGGCCCAGTACAAAACAAAAATGTAGAGCCCCTTTTCAAAAAGTATTAAAAATTTCAAGATGGCAACAGCGGAGCCTTAAGACAAGCATGGGCCCTTTTGAGTGCAGGGTCTGGTGCAGCTGTACTGGTTGTCCTCCATGAAGCCAACCCTGGCATATGCTCCTATTCCTGTCCTGTGTTTTTACCTGCCTCCTGGACACCTTTACTTTTACTTTCTGTCCCCACAAAACAGGAACACTGACTTTACCATCTGCCAAACTCAATCTCAGTATCTCTACTACTACTGCATCTTCTTTCTTCCATTTCTGTTATTACTACCTTGTACTAACCATTATATTCTAACTCCTTCAATGGACTCTGGGTTAGTTTGTTTCCAGTATCTTGTGTTGCAAGTTATCCTAGACACAGAACAACTTTCCCCAAATATATTCCAGACATTAGGCACCCTGGTCACATTAGCAACACAGTCACTGTTCTAGACAAATGGTAGGATGAGGTCCACGGAATAGCAAATGTGTTAAGAGTTATGTGGGTCTTGGGTACAAATGGGCTGTCTACATATACCTATGAAATGCAAACGGCCATGCAAGGTGCAGTGTAGTGACTGATAAAGTGACACTGGGTTTTGCTGTACTTTCAGGAGCACAGATTATGATGACTCAGTGGATTTGTTCAAAAAAAGTATTTCCAATATTACAGAAAACACAATGTATCCTGAGACTCACAAGTACAACTCTGAGTCAATTCTCTAGGAATATAAACTACTCACATACTTAATTATCCCCAAATTCATATCTAGATTTTCACACATATGCCTGATAATACTGTTGAACACACTGGGGCTCTTTACTGTAAACAGTGTCTGTAAATAATGAAATTGTTCTCCCAAGGTTAGCAGACATTGCCTTGATCTTATTGTCTCTTATACATGGTCTTAAATAACTAAGGAGAGTTTTATATTTGGTAGGAGAATGAGTCAGGAAATGAATATAATTTCTCCTTTTTCATGATCCACAGTTGGCTAAATCTTTTCTAATTAATGAAATAATACATCCTCCTAGGGGAGATTTTCCCAGGAGAAATTTACCCTCAAAGGATGTTTTCTTCTTACAGTACCAAAAAAAAAGGAATAGTTTGATTTGTTTTTATTACTCTATTGTATGTATGTGTGTATATATATGTATGCACACATACATACACACGCACAGATATATATACATACATATATATATAAACCAAACCTGTTGCCTTCAAATCGATTCCAACTTATAGTGACCCTGTAGGACAGAGCAGAACTGCCCCATAGGATTTCCAAGGAGCAGGCTGGTGCAGTCAAACTGCTGACCTTTTGGTTAGCAGCTGAGCTCTTAATCACTGCACTACAGGGCTCCTACTGTATATACTCAAACTAAAATTAGAATCTCAGTTTGTTAAAATCTGGAGCAGACATACAATTGTTAAACAGCGTGGATATAATTTAGGAGTGTGTACTAAAAACCACACTGTAAGAACATCTCTTTTTTAAGCCTGTTTTTTTTTTTTTTTTTTTAGTTTTTCTAACTTAACAAGAAACGGTGGCTAGAAGATTAATAACAAAAAATATATATCTGTTGTATAAACTTACCCAGAATTGAATCTGCAAATAAGACTTAATCGTTTATATAATCAACAGCAATTTTGTTCCTATTTTAATTACCCTATGAGAAGATACTGTCATGTCTATCTCTATAAACAGATACAATCTCTAGACAATTCTCATTTTTGCTTCAAATACTATAAAAATATATTCCAACATTCTCTTTCGAAAGTTGGTTTAAATTTCCTTTCCAAAAACAATTTATGACGGGCACTTGCCCACTATTTATGTATTCAGCATGTGCTCAAAAGGACCCAGCATTTAAAATTAAGCTCTGTGTCCAAGACAAATAGTTAATTCATTCCTTAAGTGCTTTAAGAATGGTCAAATTTCCATAGTGAAAATGATCATGAGCCTGGGGTTGAAGAAATAAGGGTGGTAGAAAACACAAAACATGTACTTACTCCTAATCTCTGAACAATCTCCCTTACGTCTTCAGCACAGTTATCCACTGCAGATAGAAGGATACATTCTCCTCTTTCGTAAAACACTTTGATACTCATTAATCCAGATGTCCACCCAATAACATCTCTGCAGGAGCAGTTAAATATAACATTCTTGGAATCCTTTTCAATCAACATTATAAACTCATTGGAAATTCCAAGAAGACATTCAATGTCAGCAGACTGGCCGTAGTCCCTTGCAATTACATGCCACATGATTGCACCAACGCTGAATAAATGTGCGTCCTTCCTTGGCTTTACTCTTTCTTTCTTCTTTGCACCTAGTGTAATGAAACTGAATTTCACAGAGGTATCCACGGTGGCGGTCGTGACAAAGTTCTCCGCCAGATCTTTCAAGTACTCTTGCCTTGTTCGAGTGGCCATCGCCCGAAATTTTTCTGATTTATGAGCTGCGTTTTCTGCATTGATTACTTTGGCTAAGAGGAAGTCCCGAAACACTGCTGACTTTGGAAAAGTCACGCCTTTGGGAATTGGTGGACCAAACGGTGGCACATCTTTTGATCTAGATACTCCAACGCTGGGAAAGAGAAACAAGATGAGCTGTGATACTGTAATATTTACCTTCAGCAATTCTGATATATACCCACACTTCCAACTTAACCCATCTATCTTACAACTTCTTGTTCTAATTTTTGGCCATCCCAAGATTTTTTCTTTTATTAAAAAATTTTGTTTTAAATAAAACTTACTTTTCAAACTCAGTCTACAAGGGTTATGAATCCCCAGTGGGATGTGACAAGCAGTCCCAGATGATGCCAGGTTGGCACTCTCTCATTCTGTGGCTGGTGATCCCTGAGAAAGATGGTAACACTTCCAACAGAACTGAGTCCAGCCCCATCATACTGACAAGGCCAAATTTTTTAAGTTTCATTTTTTTAAGAACATGCTCACTTTACTTGATTACATTTTGAAAATCTAAATGAAGGTTTTATGGGAGAAAGACTTTAAGAGATTCCATGGACTTAAGAAATGTATATTGATAGTAATAATCATCTTAATCTATCAAAACCAATAATGCTCCCCTATATCAGACAGCAGTTTTAATTGTCTCAGGCCCCTTTTTAAAATAAGATCAACTATAAAGAGTGAATTAATGAATTAACAAATGAAGGATGAGAAGAGTGAGTGCTGGATGAATCCACAGCATCTAGAGCATCTACTCACCTTACTCTTATTGATAACAATTACTGAGTAGCCACTGCAGACCAAGAATTCCTACTAATCCCACACCTACTCAGGCTGCTATTTTCTGTTAGGATAAACAAAGGAAGCAATTTTTCCTTCTTTTCCATCATTGTGGAAATCCTGAAGGAGGTGAATTAAAGACTGGGAACATTTTATTAAGTTTTTTCCTGTCAGGTGTGAATTCCTTTTGTGGAATGTGGTTGGTTAGACTCTAAAACAATCACAGTCTCCAGCTCTCTCTCAACTTTTATTTAACTATGTACTCAGAAGTAGAGTTAATCACCTGCAGGGCACTGAGCAGCAAGATGGATGACAGGTGGGATGAGGTCCTAGTTGAATGGAACGAGATGGAGGACCGCTTCCCTTGGGGACAGACAGCAAACTCAGTCATGAACAACAGAGTTTGATGATGCTGGATGGTGGTGTGTGCACTAAAAACTGGGCCAAGGGAAGGAGACTTGAGTCGTGTCCTCAACATGAGAGGGTGAAGCTGTGGAGGCCAACCTCACACTTGACCTGTCCTCCCTTGACTACCACCCTTAAGATGGACACTCAGTTTTTCCACTCAACTCTGTAGATCTCAAGCTACTCACTTAACAAAAGCATTAGGGAAAAATTTCCTATATCCAAAAATGCTCAAGTACTGCTTTCAATATGGAGTTCCAATTCTTGGCCTTTCTCAATTCTGTGGGATGATACTAGTTGCCAAGGATGGAGGCATAGTGTCTCCAGCTTTTAAAAAGGCAATTCTTTTTGCCCCAAAGGATAGACCTTACTCTCTAATTGGACATCCCCTCTTCTACAATGTATGCTATATTCCTGCTCAATAAACTGTAACCCTGTGCATCTTAGGTCAAAGTTCTCCAAGAAAGGTAGCAGAATTTAGGCATGGCTACTCTTATCCTAGGGATGGGGGTCAGAGGCCTGGTTACAAAAGTTTATACAATCCTTGTCATGAATTGAATTAAGTCTCCCCAAAAATGTATGTACCAAGTTGGCTAGGCCATGATTCCCAGTATTGTGTGGTTGTCTTCATTTTGTGATTGTAATTTTATGTTAGAGAGGATTAGGGTGGGATTGTAACACCCTTTCTAAGGCACATTCCTGATCCAATGTAAAGGCAGTTTCCCTGGGGTGTGGCCTGCACCACCTTTTATCTTACAAGAGATAAAAGAAAAGGGAAGCAAGCAGAGAGTGGGGGACCTCATACCACCAACAAAGCAGTGCCAGGAGCAAAGCACGTCCTTTGGACCTGAGGTTCCTGTGCTGAGATGCTCCCCGAACAAGGGAAGACTGATGACAAGGACCTTCCTCCAGGGCCAACAGAGAAAGCTTTCCCCTGGAGCCGATGCCCTAAATTTGGACTTGTAACCTACTAGACTGTGAAAGAATAAAATTCTCTTTGTTAAAGCCATTCACTTGTGGTATTTCTGTTATAGCAGCACTAGATGACTAAAACAATCCTTAATTCTTCAATTAGAGTCAAGGTTAGAAGGAATGTTCTTTGGACACACAGAGAATTTCTATCAGGCTGAAACAGGAACATGTTCTAGAACTCCTTAATTTACCCAAATAATTTCATAGATTTATTGATGATTGAAATATAAAACCCTTCTGCCTCCTAACATAGAAAATATCAGCCTGATTCCCAAGGCCAACTCTTCAGAAAAGGATTAGACTGGACTGTGGGACATAAAATGATACTCGTGAGAAGTGTGCTTCTTAGCTGAAGTAGATACATGAGACTAAATGGGCAGCTCCTGTCCAGAGGCGAGATGAGAAGGCAGAGAGGGTCAGGAGCGGGTTGAATGCACACGGGAACCCCGGGGTGGAAAGGAGGAGTGTGCTGTCACAGTATAGGGAGAGCAACTAGGGTCACATAGCAAGGTGTGTATAAATTGTTGTATGAGAAACCGACTGGAATTGTAAACTTTCACTTAAAGCACAATTAAAAAAAAAAAAAAGAAAATATCAGCCTGAGCAGGTACAGGATTAGCAGGAATTCTTGGTCTGTAGCAGCTACTCAGTAATTGTTATTGATAAGAGTTAGGGGAGCAGATGCTGTAGATGCTGTGGATTCATTCAAAACTCATTCTTCTAATCCTTCATTTGTTATTTCCCAAAAATAGAAAGACGAACATTCCTTAATATGCAAGTGAACGGGTTTTAGTAAAACCTGGTAGTCAAGACAATAAAGCAAAGTGGTTAAGAGCACACACTCTGGTGTTAGGGACCCTACTATGAATTCCAGCTCTACCACATACTGAGCGACTCTTAGCTAGTTACCCCCAATCCCTCAGTGCCTCTGTTTCCTTATCTGTAAACAGAGATTAAAACAGTGCTATCTTCAAAAGCCTCCTGTGAGGATTAAATTATCATTATTATTATCACAATCATTATTTTAATAATTGATTAACCCTGCCATCTAATTTTTGCTAAAAGGGGCTATATATTATATTTTCTAAAACAGAACTCATCATTCTCTAGAGACATCTCCCAACTTTTAATGGACTTTTTAGCTACCAAGCCTATATAGTTACTCAGTTACAGAGGCATGCATTTTACACAGAGTGTACCTTGGAAAGAATATAAAAACATAAATCCTCCCGAGTTAGTTCTATAATGCTAGCTACAAACTACTCAAATTAAAGATTCTTTTATAAAGAGGCAGGCAATTGGTGGTTAAATTTGCTTTTTAAAAATTTCAGGCTAAAATTATATGTAACAAAGAGCATTAGGGATGTTGCCTTCTCATTTCTCTCTGTGTTCAGGTAGACCCAGTATTACTACTTCTTGAGGAGAATCCTGCTGCATGCATGAGTGATGCCTCAGACTACCTGTGTAAGGTGATGACTGCATTATTAGGCTGCACAATTTTAATTACAGGATGTCATCTCAGCCCACAGCTTGAGGGCTGTAAAGGCAAATGGCTCCTCACTAACTGGTCCTGCAGGTCCTCATCCGTTTGGGCATCTCTGCCACTGAGGATCTGCAAAAAGCTCATGAGAGAAACAACATTCACGGGGAATGGCCTGAGATGTGTTGGATCCATCGAATTTTCTATAAAACAGGTCCCTGGGTTCAGACATAGCAATTTAGAAAATAGCTGACTTGGACTGTATTTTATGATTTCCTGAAACATTATTTTAATGAATTTATTTTCTTATTAGCTTAACTTGAGAAGTATCATATGAAACGGACCTACAAGGTGTTTCTGGAAAGTTTGGACATTCCAACCTTATTCCATAGGACAGAGCAAATACAGCTTTATAAAATGTTATGGAACTGATCTGACTACGATTTTCCAGAAAAAATATTACTGATTTTTGGAGGGATACTGGTGAAGTTGTTAAACATGACCAATATGAATGTTTATGACATATTTCGAAAAATTTGAGGCACTGTATTGACTTTACATTCGAATCTGATTAGTAAATGTCAATTTAGTGATAACAACGTAATTTCCTAAAAACCAATGAATGACTCCATCTCTGAATGATTTGCACAAGCTATAGGGTTGCTATGAGTCAGAATTGACTCACAGCAATGAGTTTGGTTTTTTTTTTTTTGGTTTGGTCTTATATCATAAAAAAGCAATGCAATCCATTTTGTTTATATGTAAGATCTATATCAACACTAGTTTTGAAAACATTCCTCCCCCAGTAATTTAATTATAACTGGAAAACCTGAAAGAACTCAAAGCAAATAGACACTATTAAAGAAAAAAGTAATTTAAAATATTCTATTTAACCCAAAAACAGCAGCCAAAATTTGCAAACCGTTAAGAAGTTTCATTTAAGATTATTCTCATAATTACCATTCCTTAGGTGAGATCCAGGAGAAAAAGCCAATTCACCATGTCTGCACCAACATTATCTGTTTTAAGCATATCATTTGCACAGAATAGATCTTATATTTTTTCAGTAGTGATCTCAAACTTAGATACGTATAAGAATTATGTTGGGAGGAAAACTTGCAGACACTTAGGCCACACCAGATCTATTAAGTTAGAATATTTTAGAGTGGGCCCAGAAAATCAGAACAGTTAAAAACTTGACTCCGAAGCACAGTAATGGCTAAGAACCACTGATTTTCAGACTCTGTGTTCTTTTATGATAGGCTGGGGGAGATGAGGGTCTGTAAATGGCATCATCTAACTTAGGGACTAGTTTTCTTTGGCTACAGATGCTTTTGCCCTGAGGAGGGTGTGTGCTCTTGTCTTCAGAGGCTCCACCAATCTCTCACAGTGCACTCATGTTCCTGGCCCAGCCCCAGTCGGCATCTCAATTTGCCACTACTGTTCTTAAGATTATAAAGGGAAGTTGACAAGTGATAGGAACTCTAAGAGGTGTTTTGTATAATTGTTATTTACTCTTCTTAACAACACTTTGAAGTGGGTACTATGATCCTTAATTTTAAGACAAGGAATCGCAGGCTCAGCAGAACAAAATAAATCCCACAAAGCCCCATGATGAGAGGTGGAGCTGAGATTCAACCTACGTCTATTAGACTCAAAGGCTCACTCTATTTGCCAATACCCCGAACTGTATGATATTGTGGTTGCAGTTATCATCTAAGAAAGAATATGAGTAGATAAAGACTAAAAGCAGCCTTGTCAGAAAGTCTCTGGTTCTGAGACACTTACATGGCCTCCTAAAATCAACAAAGTGAGTGTCAACTCCCTGTTTCAGCAGCTTTGTATTACGTGCTTCCAGGATTTTAGAATGAGAAGAAATGTTTTACTTCCACAAGTGACAATAATTACTTCTCCTAAAAAGAAAAGCTTAAATGTCCAGATCATCCAACATGGAGGCTGGTATCAGTTAAGCTACTGGATCCGGCAGGGGCTGGATGCAGTTATAAGGGGAAGGTAGAGGGAATATGTAATGCACCATTTTGAACTGCTAGGCTTTTTTAAGGGGGAAAAATAGGAAGAAGGCAATTATTTCTTACAGAAAAGAGCTAAATGATGACAGTGGAAAATACAATTAGAAAAAAAATTTTAGGGGTAAGATAAGAATTGGAAAAACAAACCTATTTTGGGAAAGACTGTTGAGCTGAAATGGAACTAGGAGAATGATCAATCAGGGAGCAGACTCACCTGTAACACACACTTTCAGTACATGGGTTATGCACTTTGACAATGACAAAGACATGCTGAAAGTGTGACCGGATGCTTTTTGGAGTAAAAGGAAGTGCTCCAGGCTCTTGGAAGACAATGGTAACGATGTCATTTCCTATGTGCCTTTTCCTCAGAAGCTGTAGTCAAGAAAGTGAACATA